AAAAAAAAAAAAAAAAAAGTGCACATTTTAGGAACATTGAAAGTACAGAAGAATTACAAAAAACGAATTTCTGTGTAGGGACTGGGAATGAGATGTAGAGGTCATACTTTCTTCCAAAAAGATACAAATAAATTTCTTTCTGGAAAAAGAAAAAAGTTAATCTTATTTAAAAAAAAAACACCTAAGCCGGGCTCGGTGGCTCAGCCTGTTATCCCACGCCTTTGGGAGGCTGAGGTGAGTGGATGCCTGAGCCTGCGGGCTCGAGACCCGCCTGGGCAGCAAGACCTCATCTCTACAATAAATCAAAAAATCAGCCAGCCGTGGTAGCGCATGCCTGTAATTCCGGCTACTCAGAAGGCTGAAGCGGAAGGATCGCCGGAGCCCAGCAGGTCAGGATGTGGCGGCTGGGAGGGGCCACTGCACTCCAGTCTGGGCGACAGAGTGAGACTCCAACTCAAAAAAAGCAACAAACAAACAACAACAAAAAAACACCCAGAATAATGTTTGACTAAATATCTGGGCACCCTGTGACCCATTCAAGTTGACACATAAAATTAATCATCACAGTATGTGTGTATGTGTGTGTGTGTATTCATATATAGACATATTATATACATAATATTTAGATTACAATACATATAATAGGAGCCAAAAAAACCCTATCTTGGTATTTGATATCACCACATTCACTAGTAGGAGACTCAAGTAAATCACTAGAATTGCTATGTTGCTATTGCTATTTGATTGTATCCTTCTTGCCAAGACCTCTGACACCAAATAAATGTATAAGTGGATCAACTCTACAAATCCCTCTCTAAGCAAATTTTACCAACATGGTAAGTGAAGCTTCAAACAGAAATCTGGACAAGTTCTTGAAAATCTGTTTTATAGAAACCAGTTTGTTTATATTTAACTATCATAATACACCATCATAGTGACTTGTCTTGACAGCCTATTCTTAAGATTTTTAAAATTGTATATATTTAAGGTGTACAATATGATATTTAGATATACATAGTGAAATTATTACTTACAGTTAAGCAAATGAACATATTCATCACCCTCCAGAGTCCCAGCTATTCACCTTGTCTGTTTTTTGTTTTTTTTTTCCGAAAGTAGTATTTATTAAGAAGACAGAAAATTTCCACAGCGGGAGGGGACCTGAAAGTTTGCCCTTGTCTGCTTTTTTAGAACTCTGCCCTCAACAAAATTAACCTCATTTTTGACCTGACATCAAAGGCTACATCTTCCCTCTTTATTACTTTTACAGTTTTTAGAGATAAGTATTTTGATACAGTGTGATTCTGCACATGCATTCTGAAACTTCATTACATATATACAAGAGTGATTTTAATGACAGCAGAAAATGTGAAAAAGAGGATTTTAGTGAACAGTGAGTTCAATGCTTCAATAAGATGAGGTTAAAAAACAAAGATAGAAAACCTACCAGGCCAGTGTGGTTTTAGACTGATTCTTTTTTCTTTTTCTTTTTTTTTTTTTGAGTTGGAGTCTCACTCTGTCACCCAGACTGGAGTGC